CAGGAATAGTTGTTGCCCTTTCTGTTAATGCTGCATGAAGTGTTCAGGTGGCAGTTGGGTTTTGAGAAAAGAGGTGTTGGCAGTATGTTGGTTATTGGCGTAAGGTAGAAAGTAATGATCTCGGGTCACTCCATCTGCCATCAAGCTAGGTAGCAGGATGAAAGTGAGTTGGAAGTTGGGAATACGCGGAAGACAAGAACATAATGTCATTCTGAATGTCCTCCGAGATACCTGAAACTACAAACTTTCTAACAACTGTCTGTATCATGCAGAGAAGTGTGCTTATCTGTGGGGCTGAGGAGGTTTGGTAACACCCACTGGTTCTTATCTGCTCCTTTCCACTGTGTTTCATCTTGCCCTGCAAAAATTATGTTTGGATGATATGTTTGCCAGGAGGTATGTGGAAGCAGCAAGAGGCTTTCAGCATTGGTAGGTGGACGAGGTTGTTATTGAATGTCCCAATGCCATATACGGCTCCTTACTGTTTGAGATTGCTGTTGGATGAATGATGGCACAGTTGTGTATTGAGCAGCATGACAGGTTATTGGTACAATCTGCAGGGAATGTCCTTTGAACATGCACTCACTGATCTTGGCTGCAAGATCACTGAACTTCTTCAGGCATGCTGTCAGTTCTTTGGGGCCAGACTCTGACAATTTGCCTCCATGGTCACCTGCTTGCATCACCTTGTTAGCAAGGCCTACAGCCTGCATCAGAAAATCTGGAGCTTTCTCTCTTCCCTGTTGTCCATTTTCTAAGCTTTTGCTTCTATTCACGTCTTTTATAGAAACTATGCAGCAGCTTTGTTAATCAGTGTCACTCCCCCTTAAGAGGTGCAGGCTACCTTTTAAGGCACTGAAACAAGCGCACGTTGCTGCATGTCTCAAAATGAGCAGCCAGTAAGCTAGGGTGTTTTTGCTAGCTGAATTCAAACCATACATAGAACATAGAACAGTACAGCACAGTACAGGCCCTTTGGCCTACGATGTTGTGCCAAACTATTATCCTACTCTAAGATCAAACTACTCTGCATATCCTACATTTTACTATCATCCATGTGCCTATCCAAGAGTCGCTTAAATGTCCCTAATGTATCTGACTCCATTTCTACCACTGGCACCGCATTCCACGCATCCACCACTCTCTGTGTAAAGAACCCACCTCTGACATCTCCCCTATACCTTCCTCCAATCACCTTAAAATTACACCCCCTCATCATAGCCATTTCCGCCCTGGGAAAAAGTCTCTGGCTGTCCACTCTATCTATGCCTCTCACACAAACAAGGTGGCAGCAGGAAGTGTACATGTTGCCTGCCTCAGTGGGACCAGTTTAAGGTAATCCCACATCCCGACCTCAAGTTTGAAAACAGGCCATTTTCAGGCTCACGCATTCATCTCGCTGTGCCAAATCATTAAAGGTAACTGTCTGGGAGAGAATTAACTGCATATCAGTCTCTTTAATAAATGATCCGCAAGGTCTTGGGATTTAAATTAATTATTTTGCCTTCACCTTTGCAGGTTTTCCTTTTGTTTACACACATGGAGCAGGATCTACACACTTGACCTTGAACTAGCCAATCAAGCGATGTTGCCGTTGTTTGTTGCTGCTGCTTCCCATTAGGATTCATTGACTGGCCTCTGTTGCTCTGGGCTGTCAGCTGTTGATGACTACACTAAACTAATGCAGCAAAAAAAAAAATCTCCTATTGGAACACCACTAACTTTTCACGGCTGTTGCTGAATCAGGAAATGGCAGAATAAGATTCTGAAAAGTGATTTGCATTTGGGCACATCTGTAACTTTTTGAACAAATGAGGAAACACTAAAATCTGCCATAAGTACAATACCGTAAAATTTTCGTCAGTTGTTTCCCCTTCATTTGAAAGGTCAAATACATGTGATGCCCTCAGAATTATAGTTTCGGAATTGTTCCCAGGGTTAAATAAATACATTATCTAAATTAATGTTTAAAGCCTCTCGTCCTTCCTTCAAATATATGACTATTCATGACTGCATCTGTTCTGCTATTCCACTAAAAATAGAATTCTTTGGCCTTCGCTCTACCATTATTTTGTCCCTGAGGCATGTTGAGAAATGCTTCAGTACTGCTTTGGACCAGCACCCGACATTACCACAAAAGGTCATTATCCAAAATATACTTTGTTTACAGTTAAGAAGACAACTCTTTAACCAGCATCTGTTCATTCCTCTTTCATTCTTTTTCATCCCCCCCCCCGCCAACCCCGATTTATTTCTCTCTCTTTTCAAATACTGTACATGAATTCCGATCTGATGGTGGAACCGTTGGTGCTTGTATTGCAGCTGCATGCATTGTTAGGACTTGCCAAGGCTCATTAAAGCTCTAAGCGATAAGCAGTGAAGGACAAATTACACTACTGTATCTGGAAAAAAGTTACATGTCACATTTTTCATAAAGTATTTGCTTTGTTTGGTAACAATTCTAGCCATTTAAAGTTTTAATGCTTAAACATTATCTGCCGTTATCAGCCTTGTTGAAAATAGGCAGTATTCAGTCTTTTTACTCCCACATTAACAGTTTAGTACCCAAAGGCTAAATGTGAGGTTAAAGCTTTTAATTAACAATGGTAGACAAGACAGGCAGTGAATACACTCCTCCTTTCTCTCCTTGTAATATTGTGGCAAAAAAATCTCAGAGACAAATCTGATTAATAAATGACAATAGGACCTGTAGACTCTTCACTTGTTATCGGGAGAGTCTGCTATGTAACAGCCTCTCTTAGGAATATGGTGACTCAGAACATAAATACTGCACAAAAGGAGCTTTTCTATTGGTTGTTTATAATTCGAATTCTAGAACAGCATCTGTGAGCCTGCTTCAATTGTTTATACCTGGGTCAATTCTGCACACCCCACCCCACCACCCCATGCCCCCCCTCCGCTCCCCCCTCCCCACCCTGCCCCACCCCACACCACCCCCCCCACCGCGCCCCCACCCGCCACCCCCATTGTCAGAATTAAACACCCAGCTTATCAAGGCCATTGAGCCCTATCAAATAGCAGGCCAGAAATTAACCAGTAAAATATTAGACTGCTGGTTCAAGGATAAACTTCTCCTAAGATCCCAATTAAAACTGCATCAATATTAAGAGAAAGTAGGAACTGCTGATGCTGGAGAATCTGAGATAACAAGGTGTAGAGCTGGATGAACACAGCAGGCCAAGCAGCATCAGAGGAGCAGGAAAGCTGATGTTTCGGGTCTGGGCCCTTCTTCAGAAATGGGGGAGGGGAAGGGGATTGCAGCAATATTAAAATGGCCACAGACTCTACAGATAAGTGAGGTTAAAAAAATATACAAGTTGAAGCTCCTAATGACTCATTGGGTTGCATTGTTTAGCTCAAGCTATACAAGTTAGGAGGTGCCACGTACAAATGGTTTCCAACTGCTGGTTTCAGCAGATGACACATATACTTTCAGGTTGTCATTACCTGCACCTGTTGAATAAGATGGTCTAAGCATCCCTCTGGATAGATCTGGTTATTATATTGTACAATAAAATAATAGCTCCAAATGCAGATTCAAAGCAACTGCTTCTCTGTCAGTTGATCTCACCAAGGCTGCTACATCTCAACTGTCTGGGGATCCAGGGCTACCGAAGAAAAATACCAATCACAGTTCTTGATTGTCATTGGTATCCAGTAATAACTGCTGGAATGAGTGTGTACATGTGTGTGTGCACATATGTATACACGTGCATGCATGTGCATGTGATGTGAGGGAGAGACACAGATGTCTAAGAAAGAATGAGACAGAAGGATCTGTGAGTGCATGCATGGAGTGCAAATGCTGGAGGGATTTTGAATGTGTGAGAGAGAATGAAGGAGTGGGTGGGTGCACATGTGTGAGAGTGTATATCATACGTGTACCTGTTGGGTTACAAACACTTTCAGTTTAGGCTTACTCTTGAAAACTGGCCCTTTGTGTTAGATTTGGAAGGAAAATCATGACGATGGCATTTCTACAACACAGTCACAACAATATATGAGGGAAGTAGAGGACTATGAGCCTTTGAGGAACAGGAGAAATGTGCTGTTTTAGTATTGTCACTATCTATGTTTAATCCAGTTGTGGAGCGTTAATCAGAGTGCCCACAATTTCCTGCTAATGTGTAACTTATGGAAAAGGCTTCCCACTAGCAGTGTAAACTGAGAAAGATCACACCCTAATAAAGGCTAGGCAAATATACACTCACAGACACACACATAACAACAAACATAGCTTGCTTTTATATAATACCCTTCATATCCTCAGGACATTCCATAGCACTTCACCGTCAATGATGTATTTTTCAAGTGAAGTCACTATTGTTTTGTATGGAAACATAGCCATTTTGCAGTCAAAAGGTCCCACAAACAGATTAATTACCAAATAACCAGCTTTGGTGAGGTCAGTTGAAAAGAATAAATGTTGTCAAGGACAATGGGAAGGAATTTTACAGAGCTTGGTTTATCATCTCATTTGAAAAACAGCACCTCTGACCATGCAGCACTCTCTCAATTGTACATTGGATACAAATGCATGCACAGCTGTACAAAGCTATACACAGACAAAAAGTTAACTCTGGGACTTCAATATTACCATAAGGATCATCGTATCCTAACGCAATATTTTTGTAGACCCAATGACGCTGCACGTTATAAACTCGGCACATAATTTGTGCTTTGGAATTTACAGTCAGGGTCCACCCCATGCAATCAATTAGCATTTAGGAGACAAGCAGCAGACATAAAATGTAAGGAGCTGCAATGCACTGAGCCACAGTGCAAAACCCTGCATTGTGAGCTGTTACTTTGTTGTAAAATATTTGATACAATATTTTTCCATGTTGCTGTTTATTCAGGACTTAAAGTGTTAAGTATGCTTCATTGTAGATAGAGGGAAAAAATATCTCAAGTGATCGGACTGGCATTCAGTATAATGTTTTGGCTCCTATCCCAGAATTCTTTGTTGTGGCACATACCTGAAGCTGTAGTGGGCTGAGTCCAGACGCAGCTGCAGCTGCCATTGTTGATGGAATGAGCTGCACAGGGTAGCTATCACCTGTCGATGAAGAACAATGCACACAGGTTCAGACAATAAGCGAAGAATAGCAGCAAACATGTGCCAACAGAACCTTTACCGCTGCTTTTCCACCACTGAGCCCAAACATCTGCCCAAACAAAAGCTTCAGCTGGGCAGAAACATGCCGTGTAGATTTGGAACTTTTGTTCACAGATGGTTTGTAGGCAAACTGATGAAAAAAAGAGAACAAATTAGAAAGGGTCTGTTCTTTTCATGCTAAAGAGAAAAAAGATTTACACACACACATAAATTAGTTCCCTCACAAGGCTCTTGCCAGTGCGCTTTAATTCATACAAAATAGTCTAAGTTACTGAAGCAAGTCTAATAAACAGCCCTAAATTGTGTCAATCAACCTCAACCTAAACTATTAACAATGCACGAGATGATTGTCAATTCTGGCATATCAGAATAAATATATGCCAATCAAACTTTTAAATTTATAAACACTAATTTTTTTTAAATAAGATATATTTTGTACGTAGTAAGATTTTTTGATAGTCATTTGCAAGATAAAAATGGATTAACAATAGGTCCTCAAACCAACACAATACTATTTTATTGCAGAGGTAAATGAAGTAAGTATAAAATTGTTGAGCTGCTAGCACAGTTGATTCTGTTGTTCTGCAGAAGTTCTGCCTGCTCCTTTCAAGTGAGCTCTTCAAGCCAGGGAGCAGACTTATCCATGAGCACATCAGAAATGAACTACCCATGTCCCTTGTGTAAAGCCACATTGCATACTTAGGTGAAGAATAGCATTTTTGTCATGTAATTCATTGGTTTCTGGTGCTGCATTTCCTTGTGAAAGCAGCAAACCACAACAAGCTTTCAATGACTAATAAGAGTTAATGATCCTGTGGGGAAGAAAACATGTTATATCCTGCTTTCCAAACGGTTTTCTAATTAATGTGCAACAAGAAAAGTATACAAATTAGAAATGGAAGTTTGAAATGATAGTGATAGGTAATGTCATTGATTGAAGTTCGCAACTGAAAGAAAACATCAAAACAAACCAACAATGAACAAACATCCACTGATCCAAAAGCAAACTTTGATAGAAAAAAAAATCAAACATCATGGGGACAAAGCTGATGAAGGGTCAAAGCTGGCAATAAAGGGAAACATTAAGTTGATTCTAAGATAATTCTTACACAGGGCTGAGACTAACAACCTAATAATCCATTTAGTTGTGCTTCCGTGTTGGAAGTGACCATTTAAGTTTGACGCTTGGTGGAACTTCATTGACACAAAGATGATATAGATACATGGTCAAAGACTTGGATTTTTGGAAAAAAGACTAAATCAAAATCTTAGTCTCCACCAGACTTGTACAGGATGAGCTTGCCAGTTTTTTTTTAATGAATCACTTCAGAAAGACTAAATTGACGAAAATGAATGACTTCGTTCATGTGTCTTGTGATGTTTGTATGACTGACAATGTTAGTAAGGGTGTTTTCAGGACTGTACCACCTTCTCTACTCAATCACAAATGTAATAGTAACTGGCGTATGGGTCAGGTGATATCTAAGTACGGTTACTATGTTTATTCCACTTTAAAATTATTCAATTATGAAAGAAGCATTCTTAGAAAAATCTTCCCTGATATCTGCTTTTGTACTTTGGTGTCAAACTTTGCTTTATAATACTTGCGTGAAGTGCTGTGGACTTTTATTGCATTTATGTGTCATGAGTATAATTTTTGTTGTCATGAAGCTGTTGGAAACTACCAAATTGGTCAGTTTAAATTCAAATAGTAAAGGTGTCATTACTTTAAAACAATGTGTTATGGAAGAATATTGTCAAATAATATGTGGGAATTTCAATACTATTACTCAGTCCCACTGGGGAAAAGGTCTTGCCAAATCGTAAACCATTGATATCAGAAAAGAAGAAATAGTTTGCTTCCCCAGCTTAAAACCGAGATGGTTGATCAATTAAAAAGGACAATGGTTATTACAGCATTTTGGTAAACTTTACGTTTCAGAAGAATATTTCTGGCATACTGAACTGTTTCATACTTCATTCAGTTTGCATCAAGTTCAATTACCAGTTACTATTGTTATTTTTTATTGATAAGTGGACATGCAATAAAGTGAAATATTCAGGCCTGTAACTCTGAAAAATGTTGGACACCGCCTTTCTCACACATGCATTTTCAATCAAGCTCCATGTCTCATGACTCAATGAATCAAATACACGCACAGAGACAAATCTGTATCTCATCAATCCATGATGCACCACTGTGAGAACATACATGCTTCATAAATATCTCTCTCCTGGCTGCTTTCAAAGCCCTGTTCCGCTGCATTTCCCCTAGTACTACCTCGCCTTGGTGTCTTGTGGTACAGTACTTTAGAAGATTAGCTTTTCTCTTAGGACAATTTAAGTGATAAAACAACAATACAAAATTATCGGTCAGTTTTGTTAGTTTGAGTTTTTTTTAAGAACAAACTAGATCAGCAATGATGTAATATGGGGTGAGTGGTGGCAGGTAGGGAAGAAAAGGGGGAACTTAGTTTTACGTGTAATGAATTTTTTTTCCACGTCCAACTCATTAAAATCTCAATCTGAAAATCCCCTCTAGCAATGCTTTACAGCTGTGGCGTTACTGCACTTAGAAGCTGCCGGATATCTGCAGTTGTTGGCCTTGTCTTTCATGGTGAACTGTTGCGTACCACACCCTTTTGTGTTTCAGAACTCACCTGAGGCTGGAATTTTTCCCTCAGCTGCTCAAATGTGTTATTTTTATTTCTATTTAAAAAGGTTCATTGTAAAACAAATTGTTACGGTGGTTACCTGGAGCAAATTCAATTAAGAAAACTTGTGGTTCGTGTTCAAGCGATTTTGCATTGTGACTTGTTATTTTGCACCAGATGATAGAATACATTGTACTGTCAGGGAAGGGCAAATAAAAGGAACTTCTAGTCTGTATACTTCATAAACTCAAGGCAGTCAATACAGAGAGGCACCCGTGTTTTCCACATGATCGTGTTAGATCATGAATATCTTTCAACTTTCAAGTATAGAAGAATGCTTCAAAAGAAAAAGTTTAGTTTGGCTCTTTTATTGGCCTGGATTTTCTTCTCCCTGCTCCTGAAGATGCTGGTGTGTAGTTCCAAGTGTTCTGAACGTCTGTTGGGAACTCATCTAACCTTCACTCTGCAAGCTTTGGCTATGACTGCAGGCAAGCTATTATGTTGTAGACAGCATTGCTGTCACCCCAAAACTACACTCATCCGAAATCGTCTCACACACCCTTTTTAGGTATGGGGTCATTGAATCACAATAAAGAGTAGGAATTCTTGTTGGGTTTCTCTTTAGTTCCGTAGCACAGGCCATTTGAACGACTCCTATTGCTGTTTTACAAAAGTAGAAACATGATTAGAACATTCAATCATTGAGGCAGCTCCATTGTTTTCACTCAGTTTGGCTGATGTCAACTGTTTTAGCACAAACTGAGGACAGGTTTGTACGGTTTGGCTTCTGTAATGATCAGTACACTTATCAAGCAAACCACCAATAATTACTATAAAATATTGTTAGTTTGCTTTGAATTCACCGTCTACTCTGTTAGTCCTTGGCATGGAGTCAATGGACATGCTGTAGCAATCGTTTTCAAATTTGTTTGGATTAAGAATGCTTGTGTGAGGAACAATTTCCATTTGATTTGTTTGTAGAACACCAGCATGTTCTAGCAGGCTTCCATACTTCTGCTCTCATCATGCAACACCATTGCCCCTGCATTTTCAAGGCACACAATAGATTGTTGCAAAGAGTGTCTTACCACTTGTTCCTGATCCATTACCTTTATTTAAGTTTGACCATCAGTATTTTGAAAATATATAGCATATAAATGAAAGGTTATCTGTGCTAGTGCCTAGATTCTTGAAACTTTATTGCCACACACTTTAGGGCTCCGTGTCATAGTCACTGGAAATGCACAACGGTCGGTCAAGAGACAGAAAATTAGTATTTAGATGCTTGATTAAAATACAATAAATAGTCTAAACGTTAACCAATCCATCCCTAGTTGCTATTTGGCTTACTGTTAATTTCCAGCATTTACTCCCTTGTTACAAAATTCCAGCATCCCCATTTCTACTTTTATCTCTGCATTTAGTGGCTTGAGATGTACTTCCATGCCATTGACCTATTAACTTGTCCCAGCCGTACAGCAGTGCAATTCAGTGCCTTCAATATGGGAAAAGCTTTTGATGGCTTTACCACATCCTCAGCACAGAATAAACAAAGAGGCTTATTTGCTTCAGGCAGTGATGTGGTGAGGGTAATTTTAACCTAATATGCCTGGTAGAAAACAAATTGATTTAGGTCAGGTCTTCTTTGATATAAACAACCCCTCTACCATCCCATATTTAACACTCCATTAAAATTAATGAGTGCAAAATTAGGCAAGGGGCTGATGGGCTAAGTTATTCCTTTGAGCTGCTTTGGTTTCTATGTGTTGATAAAGTTAACATTTCCTCCTGAAGAAGGGTCACTCAATGCAAAACGTTAACTCTGATTTTTCTCCACAGATGCTGCCAGACATGCTGAGCTCTTCCAGCATTTTCTGTTCTTGTCCTTAACATTTCCTCCAGCTTAATGACATAAAAACTAAAACTTTTTTTACCACTCCCCCTCCATCTCATTAAATGCATAACTCCTGTTGCAAATAGATTGGTGAGGATAAGGTCCTTTTTTTTATGTTGCTTATCTCACCAACTGCTTTACACCCAGTCTCACAGCCCTGTCCTTGAGGACTTGGCCAGCTGAGTCAGTAGTGGCGCCAGATATTTTCTAATCAACCTACCCAGAGATATTATTACATTGGATTTGAAATTGGACCTCCTGATTCACAGATAAGGACACTATTACTGCACCACAAGAGTTTCAGTAGTGGCGCTATTGAGCCAATCCTAATTCCTTTAACTCGCCAACAGCTACCACAGCTTCAGCCTAGAGTCGAATAAACTTAACTCCAA